TCTACAGTATACCAAGGCAAGTCTGGCATTTCAGCTTGATTTAGTACAGGCCACTGCTTAATCCATGCTTCAGTGAACCAACCAAATAAACTATTAGATCCTTTTCTAACCTCTCGAGCTGAAACACTGGATGAAGAATCTATGCTTAGTGGGCCCACATCAATGAACTCAGACTGATCCAACTTTATGTTCTTGCACCATTATCCCACATCCTTAATAGCCATTCCCATACATATTCCCCAGGTTTCTGTTTGCATATATTAGAAAAATCAAGCAGTTCTTTTGGAGTGTACCATACCTCCTCCTAGGTCACACTTTGTACTTCACCTCTTGGGGCTTGCTGGGACTTGTTGTTGTCAGGTACCACTGAGTCAGTTCCAACTCATAGCGATCCCATGCACAACAGAACAGAAACACTGCTCGGTCCTGTGCCATCCCCATAATCGTTGCTATGTTTGAGCCCATTGTTGCAGCCACCTGTCAATCCATTTCATTAAAGGTCTCCCCCTTTTTCCCTGACCCTCTACTTTACCAAGCATGACGTCCTTCTCCAGGGACTGGTCTCTCCTGATAACATGTCCAAAGTAAGCAAAATGAAGTCTCACTAAGTTCGCTTCTAAGGAGCATTCTGGCTGTACTTCTTCCAAGACAGGTGTTTTTTTTTTTTTTTTTTTTTTGGCGTTCACAGATGTTTATTCTCTCACAGTCTAGTAGGCTAGAAGTCCAAATTCAGGGTGTCAGCTCCAGGGGAAGGCTTTCTCCGTTGGCTCTGGAGGAAGGTCCTTGTTATCAGTCTTCCCCTGGACTAGGAGCTTCTCTGTGCAGGAACCCCAGGTCCAAAGGACATGCTGCGCTCCAGGTACTGCTTTCTTGGTGGTACGAGATCCCCGTCTCTCTGCTTGCTTCTCTCTTTTATATGTCAGAAGAGGTTGGCTCAAAACACAGTCCAATCTTGTAGATTGAGTCCTGCCTCATTAACATAACTGCTGCCTATTCCACTTTATTAACATCATAGAGGTAGGATTTACAACACATAGGAAAATCACATCAGATGACAAAATGGTGGACAATCACACAGTACTGGAAATCATGGCCTAGTCAAATTGATACACATATTTTTGGGGGACTCAGTTCAGTCCATGACATCTTCCATGATCTGCCCTCTGTCTCCCTCTCTAACCTCACCTCAAATCACTCTTCCTTCTGTCATTACATCCATTTACACTGGTCTTTTTTTTTTTTTTAATTGTTGTATTTAAGTGAAAGTTTACAATTGAAGTTAGTCTCTCATACAAAAATTTATACATTATTATGTGACCCTAATTTCTCTCCTTATACTGTGCCAAGACAGATTTATTCGTTCTTCTGGCAGTCCATGATTGAAAATACCATGGCTTGGGTCAGGTGCGCCTTAGTCCTCAAGGTAACATCTTTGCTTTTTAACACTTTAAAGAGGTCTTTTGCAGCAGGTTTACCCAATGCAATGCGTCGTTTGATTTCTTGACTGCTGCTTCCATGGGCGTTGATTGTGGATCCAAGTAGAATTAAATCCTTGACCACTTCAGTCTTTTCTCCATTTATCATGATGTTGCTTGTTGGTCCAGTTGTGAGGATTTTTTACTTCTTTATGTTAATATGTAATCCATACTGAAGACTGTAGTCATCAGTAAGTGTTTCAAGTCTTCACTTTCAGCAAGCAAGGTTGTGTCATCTGCATATCACAGGATGTTAATGAGTCTTCCTCCAATCCTGAGGCCCCATTCTTCTTCATATAGTCCAGTTTCTCAGATTATTTGCTCAGCATACAGATTGAATAAGTATGGTGAAAGATACAACCCTGATGCACACCTTTCCTGATTTTAAACCACATAGTATCTCCTTGTTCTGTTTGAACTACGCCTCTTGGTCTATGTACAGGTTCACGAGCACAACTAAGTGTTCTGGAATTCCCATTCTTCCCAATGTTATCAGTAATTTGTTATGATCCACACAATTGAATGCCTTTGCATAGTCAATAAAATACAGGTAAACATCTTTTTGGTATTCCTTGCTTTCAACCAAGATCCATCTTACATCAGCATTAATATCCCTTGATCCACACCCTCTTTTGAACCTGACTAGAATTTCTGGCAGTTCCCTGTCCATGTACTGCTGCAACCGTCTTTGAATGAGCTTCAGCATAATTTTACTTGCATGTGATATTAATATTTTTCAATGATTTCTGCATTCCATTGGATCAGCTTTCTTTGGAATGGGCATGACTATGGATCTCTTCCAGTCAGTTGGCCAGGTAGCTGACTTCCAAATTTCTTGGCATAGATGAGTGAGTGCTTCTAGTATTGCATCTATTTGTTGATACATTTGAATTGGTATTGCATCAATTATTGGAGCCTTGCTTTTCACCAGTGCTTTCAAGTGTCTTAAGTGTAGTTATAGGTTTATAAGCAAAAATGGGTGGTGGAGGTGGGTCCTGGGGACATTCAGTAATGTTTTATAAGGCATCTGCCTCAGGTGTTCTCCCAGGCAACACCCCAGGTGCCACCCCACATAATATCTCAGATAAAGACTCTTCAGGCACAGTTGGGTTAATCTCATCAGATTGGAGTGGTAGGGATAATGGTTTTACTGGGGAGAGTGGCTTAGCAGTCAAAGATGGAGTAATCTCTTCAGATGAGAACAAGAGGGCAGGTTACGTCGGCAGGAGTGATTCAATGGAATTTAGGGGCTCGATGTCCTCAGCTTCTTGATTATCTGCCCATATGTCCCCATCCCAAGTTTCAGGATCCCATTTCTTCCCAATCAATGCCCTCACTTTAACTTTAGACACTATTCGAGGTTGGGAATTCAATTAGCATTGTAATTCAGCCACTCTTATGATTTAAGACTCTGGGTTTGGTTTTTCGCAAAATCAGCTGTGTTACTACAAGAAATAAGGCTTTCTTTCAGGGCACAAGTGGCAACTTTGATGTTTTTATGTGGCATTTGAGCTGTGACTCTGAAGCACTGAGCTCATTTCTTTCTTTCACCACTTTGTCTAGTGAAAGTAGGACCAACCAACCAGCTTCCTTATACTTCTCATTCTGACAAAATTGTAGAAAAGCAGCAAATATGCAGTCACTCAGAGCCTTGTTGCTCACAAATATTTGATCCATTGGTGGTGATATTTTGTATATTTCTATTGCCATGTCACATTATAGATTTAGTAGTGCCCTATTTACTACTGGAGGCAGAGACATCAGTGCCTTTAATACTAGCCAGACTTGAGAACCAATTCAGAAAACTCATTCTTACAATTTTGCTTCTCTAGAACCACTCAGTACATGTCTTAGGTTGGGTTCTCTACAGAAGCAAAACCAGCGAAGCGTATATATGTAAATACATATATAGAGATTTATCTCAAAGAAATGGCTCACGCAATTGTGGAGGCTGGCAAGTCCCAAATTCTTGGGTCAGACATCAGGCTGGAGGCTTCTTCTGACTTACATGGTTGCAGGGGCTGATGAACCCCAAATTGGCAGGTCAGGTGGAAGATGGCTGGCTCACCTCCCAAGAACTAGAGGTCAGAGCATGATGAGTCGAATGCAAAATCCAGAACAGAGCCACGAGGTTTCCCAGAACATCCGTATATATATTCGATGCAGTCTACACCCCCAAGGAACTTCCTTTTCAATTAATTGGCTGCTCACATCAGATCATAAGATGGGGGATGACTACATCAGATCATACAATGAAGGATGATTACATCATTACATAACTACCAAACCACTGAGAATCATGGCCCAGCCAAGCTGACACACAATCTTAACTATCATAGAAGGAAAGAAAACAAAGATATTTGATATGTGTATACCCAAATCCCACTGCTGTAGAGTCTATTCCGACTCATAGTGACCCTATAGGACGGAGTAGAACTGTCCCATAGGGTTTTCTAGGCTGTAATCTTTATGGAAGCAGACTGCCACATTTTTCTTCTGTGGAGCCATTGGTGGGTTCAAATCGTGACCTTTCGGTTAGCAGCAGAGCGTTTTAACCGTTGGGCCACCAGGGCTCCATATAGATCTATCCCACACAAGACAAGGAAGAAATACTCAACAATTACAGTCCTTGGTTCTGCGGTAAGGTAAATTCCTAGAACTTTGTACACTTAAATTTTTTACAACGTTACCAGCTGCAACATAGGGAACTGCAACTTAGAGAAAACCGTGGGTGGGCAAAGCCAATGGGTAGTGGTCCTCGCCGAGGCGCGCGTCAAAATCCCCGCGGTACTTTTTCCAAAATACCGATGCCCGGGCCAACTTGGGAGGCCAGTGGCGGCACTGGCATTGTTTTAAGGTCATCAGGGGGATCTGAAGTACTATGCGTGGTCCTGGCAGGTGCCAAGGCACACGGGCATAAAATGCTGGCTGCATTTAGGCAATTCGTTGCCCACGCCAAACCTCCGTTTCCGCCTTTGTAAGGGGATGGGAAGGAACGTGACTTGGACCATCTCTAGACTCCTCCATCTCCGATTGTTGGGCGCCAGGTTGGATTCTACCGGCTTTTCTAGGAGGGCGGGGCGGGGGGGTTTGGCAGCTGGGAAGATGACGTAATGTGCTCACGGCCAGCGGGGGTGTCCGGCGGGCGGTGGTGGAGGGTTACGTGTTAACCCTTCAATCTCTGGCAGGTGGACGGAGTTGCTTGTGGAGCAGACGTAACAGAAAATGGAACGGCTCTTTTAAACTCCGGGAAGGAGGTTGGGCTGAGGATCCGCTGGCTTGTCCTCTCATTCGCTACGAGGCTGCGAGGGGCGGGGCCACGCTATGCAAATCAGAGCTGCTGATCGGTGACGCACCATCACCCCACGCGCCGCTTCAAGCGCCGATTGGCCGCCACCAGCCTGGTCCCATTGACAATAAACAAGGAGGAGGGCGCCTCGGGGGCGGGGCCGCGGGGGGCACGGGCGGGGGCGGGGGAATCCTGCCCCGCCCCTCACGCGCGGCGCCGGGCGCAGCGCAAACATGGCGGCGACTGGCGTGGGTCGGTGAGGCGGTACCGGGCAGAGGCTGTCGGGTGTCATGGGCGGTGGCGGCGGCACCGCCCCCGCGTCTCCCTGAGCAGGACGGCGGGTGGACCTCTGCGCCGAGCCGGGCGATGGACGCGAGCGGCGAGCTGGGCGGGCTGGAGACCATGGAGACTCTCACAGAGTTGGGCGACGAGCTGACCCTAGGGGACATCGACGGTGAGCAGTGTGTGGGTGGGAGGGAGTGCGGGGGCGCGCGGAGAGGAAGGGGTTACGGCGCCGCGCGCGGGTGCGCGTGCGCCCACCCCGCGGCAGCTCGGCTCGCGCGGGAAGAGCCCCGCGCGCCCTCGCCGGGCAGTCCCCAGCCTTCCGGCCGCTGTGGGCTGAAGCCTCGGCTGCCGCTCCGGTCCGGGGGCCGTGGGTCCGGAAGTAGGGTGTGAGTAGTGGGGGGCGCGGGGGCGGCCTAAGCGGAGCGCGCGCCGCCGCCTTCCTCGCGCGCCCACACGCGCTCCACGCTCTCCCGCCTCCCTGGACCGAGTCGCACCTGTCAGTCCCGGCCGGGCCGCGGGGGCGTCTCTGGGATCCCCGGGGCCGGGCTCCCGGCGTCTGCCCCCCACTTCTGGTCTTCCTGGGAGTGACGGCCTGCCTGGTTGCCAGGCGCTTGGGAAACTTTGGGCAGCGGCTGCAGAAGCAAGTTGCTGATGAAGCGAGCGGTGACGTCGAAGCATGGACGCATCTTTCCGGGACAGAGACCCGAGCGTGCCTGCGAAGCGAGTTGAGCAGCAGCAGATTTTGAGTTGTGGCCTTTCGGCTGCAGGCTTGGGAGCGGGTGGCCTTTGTTCTGGTGACCATCACAGCGGAGCGGAAGAGCTGGTAGAAGCCCAGGATCATCTTTTGCAATGCTCTCATCGTGTGGCCATGGGAACCGGGTTTGGAGAGGGTCAGTGACTTGCCCAAGGTCACTCAGCTAGTTGTGGAGCCAGAGCCTGTGTCTCCCGGCTCCCGGGCCAGTGTTGGTTTCACTGTATCTGGCTTCCCTCCGACCCTTGAGGGTGAGGAGTTCAGTGAACAGGGTAGGAATCATAATAATAACAGTATTTGGGCCCTACTGGTGTTTCAGGCCCAAAGTACTCTGTATTATTTCATTTAGTCCTCAACAACAATTCTATGAGATATTGTTATTGCCCCATTTTGCAGGAGTATGAGGTCAGGAGAGGTTAACCTGTCTAAGGTCACTCTCCTTAGAGAATCCAGACCTTATGCAGTAACTCAGAGGTGCACTGTGCTCTTGAGTTTACAGAGTGCTTTCGTGGGCAGGATCTCACTGCAGCCTTGCAGGCAGGTATGATGGTTCTGTCCGCATTGTGCACAGGAAGAAACAGGCAGCAGAAGATTCTCCTCTGAGGGAAGAGATAAGTGGCAGTGACTAACCGAAAAGGATACATTTCCCATTTTGCTTCTGTAACATCTCTCCTGGGCCTGTCCTTGCTTTCCGTGTTTAGTTATCTGGGCCGCGTGGTAAGACCCTTCGTTGAAGCCCTCTGTCTAACCGCAGATGCTCCTAAATACAGAGACGTGTTGACAAATGGGGGAGGGGGTTCTTGGGAAGGTGAGAAGAGCGGCTAGCACGTTTGGAGCACTTCTGTGCCAGGCACTGTGTTAAGCGCACATACACATTTGTGGTCTCAGTACTCACAACAACACTTACCAGGTAGTGCCTACCATTACACTACCGTCATTCCCCTCTCACAGATCCTAAAACTGAGTGGTTCATTAACTTGCCTAAGGTTACACAACCAGTAAGAAGTGTGTCCAAAGCTGTCGCTCAGCAAGCACGCAAAAGGAAATTCATGTGCTTTTTGCGTTCATATTCCGTGATGAATCCTTATTTGTCTTAATTTGTAATGTGTAAAATTACCTATTGGTTAAGTATTAGGTGTATCCCCATAGATTTCTGAGTAAAATGTCCACTCTGGAAACTGCCACAGTGATTGACTGGCTTCACAGGTCCTCATCCATACCAGGTTTAGGAAAAGTGGTTTCCTGACTGCAGTTGGTCAACAAGTATTCAAGTCTGGCTGTGGTTCTTGAGCTGTAAGAAAGATGGAAAGACAGGAAAGAGAATTTTATGGCCTCATGGAGCTTGAGACAGTAACAATAAAGCTGTAGTGCTGAGTATAGGCTAGGTTATAACGTGATATGCAGGGCAGTTAGTGAAGGTCACCGGCAAGGGAGTTCACTAAAGACTATCTTACCAGCAAGATTGCACCAAGGAGGTGGTCCTTGACTTCGGCTGTGAAGGACAGGAAGGGTTGGGCCAGTTAAAGGCCTGTGGTCTGCAGATATAAGCATTCCTCAATACTCACCTCCCCCCTTCCCCCTCCAGAGCAACAGTTTCATGAGGGCAGAGATCTTCACTTTGTTCAGCGCTGTGTTCCTTGTGCCTGGAACAGTGACTGGCATGGAGTGCCCACTAAATATCTGTGAAGTGCTGAATGAATCCAACGACCTTGGGCTGAGCAGGATACTACGTTGTACTAAACGCAGTCCTTGGAGTTGGATTAGACCAGGGTCACCAGCCCAGATGCTTCCATAACCAGTCAGGTGAAGAAGAGGAAAGCACCTGTGGTTGATGTGCTTCCTTTGTATGTATTTGTGGGGAATGGTGGGCAGGGGGCACTTGCAGCCTAGACAGCTCATGCTCACTTCCTGCTGGTACACAAGTAGGCAGGAATCCCTCATTCAGCAGAGTCTGCCCTGCGCCAGTCCATTGGTGCCTTTTGGGAGCACATCCATTCACTCACTCAGCACATCTTTTAAGTGACTTCTAAGTACCCCCTGATGTGCAGAGTGCTGAGGATAGCTTTGAACAAGACAGACAAGGTCTCTTCTTTGTCAGGGAGGTTGAGTTCTCAAGGGAGAAAACACAAGCTGAACAAAATAAATGGAACAATTTTAGCAGGGCGCTATGAAGATAATAAAATGGAGTCATAAAGAGTGACTAAGGTCTGAATGAGACTAGAGGAACCCTGGAAAGCATGGCCCCTGGATTCTCTATCAGCCCAGAACTAAAACAATTTCTGAGGACAACTCTTCAGACAGGGATTGGACTGGACTGTGGGACATAAAGTTATACTTGTGAGGAGTGTGCCTCTTAGCTCAAGTAGGTACAAGAGATTAAACAGGTAGCTTCTCTCCGGAGGTGAGATGGGAAGGCAGAGAGGGTTAGGAGCTGGTTGAATGGACGTGGGGAATCGGGTGGAAAGGAGGAGTGTGCTGTCACAGTATGGGGAGAGCAATTAGGGTGACATAACAATGTATGTATAAATTTTTGTATGGGAGACTAACTTATAGTGACTAAGGTAGCCTGCCTAAGGAGGTAGTCAAGGAGAGCCTCTCGGGAAGAGATGTCAGTGTCTGTTTTTTAAGAGATGCCCAAATCTGAATTTTTATATGAGATCTCCAGATTTTTAAACTTTGGCTCAGTTTTGCTTTTAGAAACATACTATATGCCCAACAAATCATGTGTGCTAGCTGATCTCCAGGCCACTGTAGAATGCTCTGTTGTCCCAGGCCCCCAGGTCTCTTGTGATAGCCTAGCTAGAGCACCTCCTTTTGTGGTGGTGGTTGTGGTGGTGGTAGATACCTGTATTATGAGAAAGGGCCTTAAGCCAAGTCTTCTGGAGGGACCGAGAGGAGGGCTTCTCTTCTGCTGGGTTCAGGAAAGGCACAGTCATGGAGGTGGTCTTTTTGCTAGCCCTAAAAGGATGGGTGGCAGGAACAGCATGAACAAGCACAAGGAAGCAGAAGGACCAAGCTGCCTTAGAAATAAATGACCACTGGAGATTTCTTGGAATAGACCATGTGAGTAAGGCAACAGTAAGACAAGGTCTGAAAGGTGAATTGGAGCCAAATTGTGGAGGATCTTCATACCAGACACAAATGTTTTGTGGAATGTAGGGAGGGAATTGCTGAGGATTTTTGAGTGGGGAGATGGCACTTTAATCATGGGTTTTAAGAAAATTCAGCTGTAGTGATGAACAAGGAAGAGAGGAGGCAAGGAGACTCATTATGGGGGAACTGCAGCCATCCAGTGTGAGATGATGATAAAGCTCACACCAGAGGGTGGTAGGGGAGTTGCATAGGATGTTGCCATTGTGCAAGACGTTGCACATGAAAGGACATGACCTTGGAGAAGGCAGATCAGAGGTGGAATTCCAAGATCTCATCTAGGCTTTGAGCCTGGGGCTTTGGGGGAGTTTAAAAGCCAGCAGGAAGATCTGGTTTGGGGAGATGATGAAAATTTGTTTCAAATGGGCTGAAATTGAGGTGCTTGGGAGGGTCATCTAGTAGGAAATGAGAGATGGTCAAAACTGAGGGTGGAGACTGAGGAGTAGCCACTGTAGATAAGTTGGGGGAGAAGTGAGAGAAGATAGAACCAGGAGGTCCGCTGGAGAGGACCTTTACCAAGGTGCAGTGAGCTTTTGAAGAGAGGGTTAGTGGATGATTCAGACGGTGCTGCACAGAACAGCGAGGATGACAAGGCCATGGAAAGAGTGGAGGGATGTGACAGTTGGGGGGGTTGACCTATGACAGAGCAGTCAGGTGAAGGCGGTCCAAGGCCAGAACCAGGAAGGAGTCAGAAGTGAGTGGGTGATGGGCAAGTAGAGGCAGCCATTCTCATTGGAGAAGGTTGGAGAAATTTTTCGGCAAGATCGTCTATGGATTTGCCTATTTTGGGTGTTTGGATGTTTCATATAAATGGAATCAAACAATGTGTGGCCTTTTGTGATTGATTTCTTTCACGTAGCATAGTTTTTGAGGTTCATTTGTGTTACAGGCTAGTATTCCATTGTATGGATAGACCATATTTTGTTTATCCGTTCATCAATTGATGGACATTTGGGTGGGTTCAACTTTCTGGCTACTATGAGTGAAGCCGCTCTGAACATGTGTGTACAAGTTTTTGTGTGGACATATGTTTTTGTTTCTCTTGAGTAGATCCTCTATGTTGTTGTTGTTTTTTGTTTTCCTAGGGTTTATAATAGTCCTACTTATTCATTTGCTTAGCTTCTATGTTCCCGTAACTAATTCAGCCCTAAATCATATGACAGAAACTCTCAGTATGATGGTCAGTTCCTTTTATCCCATTGCTGACGTCTCTCCGGAGCCCTCCCTCTTTTTGCGTTGTCTGATGGTTGCTGTCTAGGTCTGGGACT